TTGATTACAATATTCATTTGTTGCCTGTCAGTGTATTATAAATAAAATGCTGTATATGCAACATATATATTTATTTTGGTAATAGACTATGATTTTGCTATATTGCCTGGAAGTACCTATGCACAATTAATAGCTTAATAAACCTAAAATGCTTAACTTAATTGTTTATTAATCAGAGTTTAGGGAAAACATAAAAACAAATTCTTACATAAGAACTGGTTCTATGTATCCTGAAATTACCTGAAAATGGATTACAGCTCTGGAGTCCTGGACGGCAATAATCCAGCATTTGTTATTGGTCAGTTCATATCTCTAGCACCTGTAGACCTACATTTTTAAACATTTATTTTATTTTTCACGTATTCCCACACACTTAAGGTTTGCCACTTCTTCATGTTTCCACTCAGAGTTGGTCCCACTATTGCACAGAGAGAGTGAGGGTGAAAAAGACAGGGCATGCCCAGCTCGCCCATCTCCCATCAGCCTTCCTGCTAACTTGCTGCTCGATGCACAGGGCCTCACAGGGGTGGCCGCACCGACCAGAATAGTGTTGAATCTCTCGCTGACGTCACTGCATGCCCGCAGAGCCAAGATATTCCTGGATGACAAATCGCAGTGCCTTGGCAGTTGTCCACAAGTGCTCGGGGAATCCTGGTTCCAGCCAGCTAGTGGCATGATCCAGGCTATAGTGTGTGAGACTGTGCTTGGGGTGAGTGTCTTAACCTGAGCCATTTGGGGAGCCCCTGATCCATTCAATTGGTACACAGAGGAGGGATTGTTAACATGCAGCTGCTGTGGCTTCCTGGCACTCTAGGTACGTAGACCTACTGTAATGTCACCTGTGGAAAGACTTAACTAGATAACAGTAATAGACGTAAGAGGTTCCCAGGTGTGATTACAGGACTGCACATTTTTTCCAGCTGACCTACGAAGTTGTTCATCTGTTTGAAAGTCATGTATAAAATGTACTAGCTCGGAGAAGGTCTTTAACCTTAAGCCTTAAGCCTTTCAGCCGAGGAACTTTCAGCTTAAGCCTTTCAGCCGAGGAACTGAAAGCAATTAAAGAGTTCAAGTAAATCATATTATTCAGAGAGGGATTCAGTAGTGTACCTGAGAGCTGAACTGGAAAGCAATGAGAGCAGTATCACAGTGTTGGGAACTGAAATCCCTAGAATGAGGTAAAGCAATCAGACAGGAATAAAAAGAGCATTAAAGGTGCCCTTTTATACCGGGTTTTCATTTCCCAATGACATTTCTGTAAATGTACAGCTCTGGTGTTTTAATCTGTGGCCTTCAGGTATTTAGTTGTTTCTCTATAAAAATTCTGCAAAAAATGTACCTGAGATTACCCTAACTAGTAATTAATTATGAGCTACAGACTTGTAAGGCATATACTGTAAAAAAACACCCCCTAACTTTAATAAAGCATCTTTCATTCAAACTGCTTCATAAACTGAGTAAATGTTTAATGATATAAGAAAAGACAGAGGCTGTATTTATAGAAGCAGCATTAACAAAACTAAAATGTATACTGATTCAGGCTAGAAGGAGCCATATGGTTATAGTGAAACAATGCATTTAAATTGTTCCTAATTTCCCTTCAGACTGCAGGTGCAAACACAATTCAATATTGTAGCAGTGCACATCTTAAGCATGTCTTTTGTGGTCTTTATAATAACCCCATCTGCTCTGCTGGCTATGTGCTGCTCGCTGTGGAACAGCTAGTAAAATGAACAGAAGAAGAACACAATCGTGAAATTGTGAAATGAATGATGAGAAGGAGGGTGTTGCGTGATGAGCTGTGGGCACAGGGAGAAAGCAGGCTTGCCTCTGTGGGGACACAAGCTGTCAGAGTGGATTAGCCAGCCCGCTGTCTCGTCTACAGAGGTGCAGGTCACTCTCTCTTGCTCTTCCTCCATCTATCATTTCTGTCTCTCAGCATTTATGTCTTTTCTCTGGCTTTTCCTGTGTCAGTTTCATGGTCTGAGTGTGACTTGCAGAAGGGGCAGAAAAGTAGTCCTGTGGAAGTGCAATATGTTGTGGGTTTGGCAGCACGGTGGAACAGTGGTTAGTTATAGCAGTGCCGGGGCCCTGGGTTCAGTTCCAGAACTGGGGTGTTTTCTGCGTAGAGGTTGTATATCCTCACTGAGTTTCTCACACAGTCTGATGATGTTCTGGTAGTTATAAGTGGCTTCTGGGAAAATTAGCCTGTGTGAGCGTGTCCGTGTCTGTGACCGCACTGCGAAGGACTGGCGTCCCGTTCACAGTATAAATTCAATATGCAATAGTATTCAGACCCGTCATGTATCATACCCAGATACTGCCTAGATCAGGCTGTTCATCCAGAGTGAGCAGCCAGGCAAGGAGGAAATTAGTGAGGAGTGTCATTGTGAGGCCAATGAAAACCTTGAAGGAGCTACAGAGTTCAGTGGGAAAGATGGGAGAAAAAATCAGTCAACAAACTCTCAGTCACTCCACATAGATGGACTGTATAGCAGAGTGGAAAACCCAGTTTTGCCCTTGTATGCAGTTTCCAGCAGAGCACCTGAGTGATCTTTCAAAAATGCGTCAGTGGGCGAGCTGGAAAGGAACAAAGAGTTTAATTCCACACCAGAAAGAGAAATAAAGAAGAATAAACAGTGATTCAGTTGTGCAGCTTGCTTCACAAAAATATCCATCAATTTTCTAACCCCTTCTTCCAATCCAGAGTCGCACAACCACTTTGTTTCATTGATCCTAGGTATTTTAATGTAAACTTAAAAAAGTGTGCAATTTTTCATATATTCTTAATTTTACTGTGATAGCAAAATAAATGTATATGTGTAAAAACAGTTGGGATTTTTTCATGTATATTTTATTTTACTGCAAATTTTAAATGAATAAAGAATTATGTCTCTTTCATTCTATAGTTATGATATACTGTATCTTTGGTTAAAGAGCTAACCTCCCTCAGGGATTTGTGATCAGGGCTGTGAGAACATAGTTTGAGAACCAAAGGAGTGCAGCTGCAGTAAAGGTTAAGAACCACTGGTATACAGAATAAGAAGAAACTCAACAAAATTATAGTACCTTATTGTTGCATTTTGGTGTAAACTATAATTTTGTTCATAGTATTTGTTTTTCCCAGGGAGCAATGTTGCTCAGCAGGCATGGATTTAAATAACAGGTTCTCAGGTCCACAGGGAGAGAGAAAAACGCAATTATGTTTTGAATAGGCGTCTGGCAGCATGAATAAGAGCTGGACTGAGCGAGTACCAGATATTAAAGGGCTACAAAGCACTACATCATAAAACTGTAAATATTAACACGAGCCACTCTGTTTCCTTATTAGGATTAATATCCTGTACCATCTGTGTGTTTTATTTCACTCTAGCGTGCAGTTCTCTCTCCCTGTGGTCATAATGTCTTGTACTGTCTTCTCAAACGGATGGCAGATGACTGCAGATAAAAGACAAATTATTTTTATCTGACATCACAAACCGCTTCTAGAGAACATATTCCAAAATGTTTTGTGCAGTAGAGATTCACATAACAACAGTCAGTGACTACTTTAACATAGTTCAGGCATCACAGATGCAGGCAGTCCCCCACAGCCTTCCAAACCTGCTGTCCTGTGCAGAGCCTGCTGTCCTGTGCAGAGCCTGCTCTGGGCTGTGAGGAGCCTGCTCTGGGCTGTGCAGAGCCTGCACATTGATCTGTTCGAGTGCCAGCAAGACATGTAATGCAGAATCATGCAAATCTGTGGGACTGTTTTGCAAGAAAGTGCTGTCGCTCTACAGCGAAAACGTCTCCGAGAGTGATGCCATCAACCCATGTGTGTGACGTCTGAGCTTCAGACATTTTTATATTTTTAATTTTGAACTAATGGTAAATAAACTAAATGGCTGTGAGGCCATTTTCTGCAGTTGTGCGCACATATTTAATATGAATATTTTATGTTTTATTATGTAGTACTTATGTAGAACTTTAAGAACATGTAAAGAAAAGGTTACAAAAAGACCATTTGTCCCATCTAACTGATGTGATTGGTGGTATCTGATTGAGGCAAGGATTTCATCATCTGTTTTGTGAAAAATCTGAAGTTATGTGCTTTAAAGTGTGTTCCTGGATTTGGAAGATGCAGATGTGCCTCCTGTAAGATTTCACTTGTGTCCTCTGATCCTTGTGAGCTTTCGATTTGTTGCTTAAGGGGCACTTTGTTTTAAAAGTGACTTTGACCACTACTTATCGCACTGTAGCACACCTGAAAAGAAATGTTCTAAAGTTTGAGGGAAGCAGAAACATCTGTTGGAAAATGTTGACCATTAAGAGTTAAAAATGTTCAGTTTATGCTCTATTTCCCTCAATTTCTTAACGGTGAGTTACGGTAAAGAAGAAAACAGGTTCTTCAGAGAAGTGTTAAAATGTATGCCCTGACAAAATCTGTCCCCCACGACGGACATAATCCCTTTACTAATTTTTAATAATTAACCAGATGTAACAGATGGAGGTCAGGGAAAGCTTGTTTAGGTCACTATGGAAACATCTGCCTCTGATGAGCAGGTTGCCGAGGCTACAATTACCAGGGCCTGTGTCTGCTCTAATTTTAATTCAGTAGTCCCACTACTTTGGTTTACTTAAACTTACAATTAACACCGAGCAGCGAGCTCACAAAGTGGTTTTTCATTGCCCATTTACCTGGCTGTTGGTAGTGCCCTAGTTTTGCAGTGATGTGGATGTGGCCTTAGCAAAATTGTTCACAAATATACAAATCTGCTGCTTTTCAAAAGTTAAATGGCTCAAATAGCTGGGCAAATCAGATGAGCTTGTCCATAGGTTCTTATTCATAGGTTGATAGTGGGTTCTCCTGGTATCCCCAAGTAAAGTATTAAAAAGTAATCCTTTATTCCAAATTCAGAAAAAAAGAAGAAAATGAGCTTGTGTGTATTTGTTTGAAGGTGCTAAGAGACTACTTGACGGTGAGTGGGGTCTTTGAGACTTTATGTGTGCTTGTACTACAGGCACGTGTCTTCCGTGCCTGGTGGACGTCGTCCCAGTGAAGAATGAAGAGGGCGCTGTCATTATGTTCATACTGAACTTCGAGGAGATCCTGGGGACCTCAAAGAAGAAGGGTGGCCTGAGGCAGAGACTGGCGCAGAGCTGGATCAGAGCAGGTTAGTTGACTCTGAGGTCTTTCATTTGTTTGTGGATTGTATATACTACCCTACAAGTGTTCTCTACCTCACATCATCAGTCTATAGGCTTATGTTTTTAGACGATGCTGCATTAAACTTGTCTTTTTAACCCATGTCTCCTCTTGCTCTTTATCACATGTGTACTATCAATACATGCATGAGATCTCAGAACTATATATCATAACCCTACCAGACCAGCATGCAACATGCCTATAGCAGAGTTCAGTGTCCACCTGTAATAACAAAACATTACATATATCCATCAAACCAAAGGAAATATTAAGCAAGGTAAGGAAATATTGTCTGATTTAGCCAGTGAAATCCCAATGGCTTGTGCAACACTCACTTGGGAATACCAGCAATAGTGGTCTGATGACATAGTGTAAGTGAGGTCTGAAACATGAAATTCTCATTGGATTTACTTGGTCTAGATATACTGCAATAAACTTAACTGCCATCAATTCTGTCTGTTACATACCTAATGTTCTGTAAAATACATAAACTTCTATGCTATGCTTTTAACTCACCAACTTGGATGTTGGGTGCGCTCTGCACACAATGTTTAATAAGTGTTAGCGTCCACCTTTAAGTGCTCTGTTTCATGAATTTCTCCCCGAAGTTGTGCCATTGCAGGTAATCTCATCAGCTTGTTGGCAAAATACCTTGATTCCCCAAGCCTGCTGTCTAATATTTTAATGTCACATCAGACAAGAAAGCATTTGTCACAAACCATATTTAAATTATTTTTTGTGCATTTAAAATAATAAATTTTCATTGATAATATAATGTAAAATGTATGAAACATTATAGCCATATACTGTATATTCTTTATAGGAACCAGTAAAGGTTTATTGCACATTTATGTTCTTCTCTTCTCTTTTCAGCATGGAATAAACCTTTACTTGTTCCTTTGTAGCCTACGCATGGTGATGCAGCTACCTTCTTGAACTATATTCTTTTTATTTATTTATTTCCAGTTCTTTTCCATTTTAAAAAGTTCCCTCTGCTCTGTACATTTGCCTGTCTACTATAATTGAATCATCTACTATATGTGTAGACTGTAGGCCAATGTGGTGTATCACAGTCACTCCCCTCTGCAGGGCAGAGCCGGCGTCTCCGACTGAAGCTCCCATCTCTGCGAACCATCACGCTGCATGGTCCCTCCATCTCCAAGGACCAGTTTGAAGGCGTGGTGGTGGACTATCTGCATGTGAGTGATGCCTTCATGTGCTTGCCAGAACCACCGTGGGGTGTGTATCCCTTGAGAACCAGTAATAAGGAATGAAAACAAGCGGCCACTGGGATTTTCATTTCCCTGACCTGTGGAGACTTTCCCCTGAGTTTCATGGTTGAAATTAAAGGATAAAAGTGGCTTTTTTCCCCTCTGTGTCCGATATTGCCTGAGTAGCACAACTTAATTGGCAGGGCATCGCTGGGCTAGAGCTGGGATTAGCTGACCTGGGTTCTTTCAGCTTTCGACTAAAAAAGTGTTTTTTACAGAACTGCATGTGACATTAGCACCAAATACAGCTTTTACATCCTCATAAAGAGTCTGAACTGTGCTCTGAAGCTGTATGCATCTATGCATCTTCATTTCATAATTAAGACTAATAATTAATGTCATAATTATGACTAGGACTTAGTAAAGATACAATGCGTTTTATGACTAGCATTATTTTATCAGGACTGATTAATGTATCTACAAACACCAGCTTCAGAAAAGATATTGGGCATCAACACATGTATTAAACCAACTGAGGAAATAAAAGAACAAATATAATAATGAAACATTTCAGGAGGGGGGATTAAATAAGAATTAGTTCAAGTATGGTTGGGAAGAACAAGATCTCATCAGCTCTTTCTGATGTGCTTTTCCAATTCATATTGTCTACTTCACTTCAAGTGCTTTAAATAGGAGTGTGCAGGTGTTTAATGGCTCATTTATACTGGTGAAGCAGCAACTAAACCTTCATCTGAAACAATGAAGGGAATCCTTGAGTGCCTCTGAGTGCCTCTGTGCAAGAGAAATACAGTACATTGAGGATTTCCTTTACAAAGAAAGAAAGAAATCTTATAACAGTAAGGAAATCACCAATGTTAGTATGAGGAAAAAATCAACTTAAATTGCGCTGACATTTTGTTGACCACACATGACATAGGATAATTAATATTAATGATGAACATTTGCCATCAATAGGGTTGAACAACATGGAGTACTGTGTCCTGCTGGAGTGTTGCCACATCATCCCCAGACATGACCCACATAGGGAAGTCAGATTGATATTTTGTAGAGAGTGGACAGTCCTGGATAGACAAAAATACCTGGATCTGTCTTCGATTGATCTGTTGTAACAAATGATTAGCCTGCCGTTCTCCACATCTGCTCCATCCTCACTGATGTTCATCAGGGTGAACTACACTAAACCATAATCCACCAAGGAGGGACTAAAGGCCTAAAGAGGACTTGGCTCTGATGCTGGCAAGTTCACCTGAGGTGTTGCTCCAACATGCTGAAGGAATGAAGGCGTCATTCGTTGGAAAAGTGGTGCAAAATGATTCCTTTCCGTGTTTTTCTTTCTAGATTTTCAAGAGGATTGCTATTCAGCATGTGAAATCTCGTCACCTGTGTCCATTCAGCTCTTTTATAAATGAAAAGAGTAATATATTAATGCTTGAACTGCAAAGTCATTTGAGTTTATTGAGAATGGATAACTTTGAGAAGGAGCTTTCTGTAATAAGATACTCTTGAATGATAAATTAAGTTACTCTCTAGGCAGCCTTCCCAAGACCTGTGTTGTGATCTGCTTTCTTCAGGTTATATCATCGATGTCCTAATAGAGACTTAGATCAATCAAAAACACACATTTTTATGCTGTCTTAATCTTCTCGCTTTTGAGTTTGATGCATGCTCTGTATTGGTATCGTGCTTTGAAGTTTATTTGCTGCCATGCTATGAACGTTATGACAGAAATAATTCATTTTGGGCTAAAATATCCTGCTTAACTTTATAATTAATGTGTTCCTTTGTTTGAAATAAAACGCCAAGACCAGAAGATGCACACCAGTCTTAAGAACAATACTGATCCATTTCAGAGGAGGCTTGACATCTTTCAGCATGCTTTCCCATTTGTCTTAGGAGTTAATTAGTTGTACTCCCAACAACACAAATTAAACAGGAATCTCTTATGAAATCTTTTTGCATAGCTGTTGCTAGAGTCCTTGAGGTCAGAAATCTTGCTTCTCTTGACTTTCCCCATGAAGATTTGGTAGTAAGTGTTTTGCTTCTGTGTTCAGTCTCCATCAATACCCAGTGTCAATTAGGAAATAGTATTTGCTTGTAAGCCCTCTTCAGCCGTTCCTACGTTGAAACCTCAAACGCCCAATGGTGAACATCGTTCATCTTCACACTTGCAGCTTCCTGCTGCCCTCAGTCTGCCAGAACATAAGGTGTTTCTGTTCAGGCTGCTGGCTGTAAATGTGGGAAATATGTTGACTCCTTACAACGCTCTTAACAGCTTGTCAATTAACAGATTCTGCCTGATTTATGCAGTGTGGAAAAAAATACTGCTGTCTGCACTTCTTAAATCTAGGCTTCTGTTGCATCAAACATTTTCTTATTCTGTCAGATCATGTTAAAAAAATTGCACTGGCTGACAAGTGTTAATGTGGAAATTATTACACTCAGTCTCGATCAGGCTCTATTTTGGGTGATTCCTTCTCACTGCGAAAAGATAGCTGGACTAGCTAGGACTGATGTTTATTAAAATGTATCTGCTTGCTCAGAATGAGGTTCATGACCTTTCCTTTATAAACAGTAAAGTTGGTTGGTTGAGCTCAGAGGTTTAAACTGGCGTCAAGCCACTAGACAATGATTATGTCCAAGTCCTTACACCTTGCTGAGTGCCTGCTATCTTGTAGTGACGCCACTGAGACACTCATGGTGACTACCCCTCTTGTCAGGGTCTGACATCCATATTCCAGTCATCTTTCCGTATTTCAACCACTCTATCCAATGCAGACCCTATCTTGACAAGCTATGGACATGAGACTAGATACAACCTCGTCAGGATGCCGGTCCATTGCAAGGCACACACAGACACAGTCACGCACGCACTCAGACCAGGGCCAGTTTACCCAGAAGCCAATTAACCTGCCAGTATGTCTTTAGACTATGGGAGGAAACCGGAGCAACTAAAGCAAAGCACCTCTATAAATTATCAGCAGCCGAAAATCTGGGAAGCAGGATGCTTCTGTTCCGTTAAGCACATACTGTAGAAAACCAGGAGGTGCTACAGATGTGTGGTTGAGGGGGCTGAAGCCCTTCTGCTCTATTTCATCCTACCTGGACATCAGATGGTTTCCTTCATTCTTGGCTCCGCTGATTTTGCTTTGGATTCCAGTAAGAAAGTTATCTGCACAAAACCCCACTGTAGATTGTTCCTTGTGTTTTCTTTTCCTCGAAGGGGGTTAGAATACGACTGACTGGGGCGAATAACATTATAAAAATACACTCCAGAGACAGGGCTGAAGATATTTGCATGACAGATAGGTGCTGATTCTCCTGGCCAGGGAGGAAAGGAATCCTTCTCACATACTGTAGGCAAACATTTTCAGCTTTTATTCTCTGGTCTTAATCAGCACAGCTGATAATGGGTCCAGTGTCCTGCATAGCTTATGGGTCCCGAATCCTGCATAATCAATGCATAATTGCGTTTAATTAACATCGTATCTGTCAGTTCGCGGCCTAATCGTTTTGACTTTAGAACTAATGCACAGGAATAGCTCAAGAAACAGTTCCCAGTCAATTTCTTTCGGTACCGAAGCTGATCCAGAGGAGCGTGTCATGCAGATCTGAAGACAGTCAGAAATACAGTCTCCTATCCTTGTGCCTGTCTCCTCTCCCAGCCCAGCAGCGAGGAGCTGCCCCTGAAGGAATTCCGCATTCCCTCCAAGGAAAGCTGCACCCAGTCGGAGACGGAGGCCCTGATTGAGCAGGACTGCCAGCCCCAGCCGCTGGGCCATTCGTCCCCGAAGCGGGCCCCCGACAGGCTTGACCCCGAGGGGCCCTTCGCCGCCAGCAGCCTGCCCCGCAGCCGGTCGCGGGACAGCGTGCGCAGCCTGCGCCGGGCCTCCTCCCTGGACGACATCGAGGGCATGAGGGGCGAATGGGGCGGCAAGGGCGGGGAGACACGCGCCAACAGCAGTGAGCGTGGTCCTGCATAGCTTATGGGTCCAGTGTCCTGCATAGCTTATGGGTCCAGTGTCCTGCATAGCTTATTGGACCAGTGTCCTGCATAGCTTATGGGTCCAGTGTCCTGCATAGCTTATGGGTCCAGTGTCCTGCATAGCTTATTGGACCAGTGTCCTGCATAGCATATGGGTCCAGTGTCCTGCGTAGGTTGGCCTGACAGGGAGAAAAGGTTCATAATTAATGATCTTGAGAAAGACTCCAGTTCCCATTGATTCTCGATGACAGGCTAGAAAGAAGGGCCTCTAGTCTATTCTGTCCCACTCTTTGTTGCACTTACCCCTCCTCTACCCCTGGGGGTTCCTACGGCATAATTTTAATGGCCAGGCTGTAGCCCCTGATAACTGGTCCCATTCTGGCGAAATTCAACAATTCCTGTTTTTAGAAGTTCAGAAGATTTTAGTAGTTCAAAAATGCAAAGGCTAACAATGAAAACTGCAAACCCCCAGTTGTCAGGGGCAGTTCTGACCTAAACAAAGACATTTTTTTCTAATTTGAGCAAAACCGTTTTCTCGAAGCCTTTCTGCATTAATGATACCATGAATTGCCCTGTAGGTTTTGGGAATTCGGTCAGCAGCTCCTCCCCAATGCCTGTAGTGTCACACGTGCACAGCAGTGCTTAAACAGAAGATAACACCAATATTATGTGGTTTCATGGAAGAATACACAACAGGTTGTGGTGTTTTTTGTTGCAGTGAACTGAACTGCACCGTTCTTTGTTGTTCGGCAGACCTGAAACCCAACTTGTTGAACTCCACCTCAGACTCAGACTTGATGCGCTACAGGACCATTCACAAGATCCCCCAGATCACCCTGAATTTTGGAGATTTTGGATCAGACAAGTTGCGTCCCCCTTCACCCACTGAGATTGAGATCATTGCTCCAAGTAAACTGAAGGACCGCACTCAAAATGTCACTGAAAAGGTCACCCAGGTAGGAACCCACCTATTGGTACTTTATGTTCTTATCTCATATAAGTACTTTGTCTGGGATAGTTACATATTATGTGATAAAGATCTGGCAGTGAGCCATGATTCCAAAGCTGATGTAAAAAGACATTTTTTCAATGCCAAATGCAAGAGAAAAAATGAGAATATCATGTCCAAGGGATATATTAATCAAGATATTAATCAAGATACATAGCAGCCTTTCTGAAATACCAGCTTATCCCACCCAGTGGTGCGTGTGTGTGCTGTGAAGTGATAGCTCCCTGCGTATCTGATTTTTTCCTCAGCAAGTCGTCAACAAAAAGAATAATTTCACACTCCAGTGGCAACATCAGATAGCTTGCTTATGTTTGACTGTACTCATTGAATTTTTAAATGGAGAACTTTAAATGAAATTAGCCAAGGGAAGCAGACAGTCCTGCATGTTTTAAACTGGAAGGAAGCTTAGAGATCATTTATAAAATGTGGAAATAATCTCATTAATTCCTTCACACTGCTAGGGGCAACGCCCCCTTTCAATTGATATCTTATCTCCTTCAACTAAACTGTATGTAACAATAATGATAAATATTTAAATACACAAATATTTCCATCTCAGTAGCTGCACAAGAAAATTTTAATCAATAACCCGGCGGAGCTGCTGAGGTCACTGACCTTGATCCCCTAAGAGCCTGTGTTCAGTGGCCTGTAAACATCCACACTCTCTATTCAGAGCCCTAAAGGCAGATATGAGGAAATCAACACCCATTAACAGAAGAGCTTGTTGCACACATTCACTGTGACGTACACACATGCTAGATATCTGTGGTTTCTTTCGCTCACACCATGATTCTAATTAAACAGAGAACACATACTGTACAACCGTAGACTTTAAAACCAAATCTTTATTGTCTCATTTGAAGGAATGGGAGGCTTCAAATCAGAAATGTGGATGGTGGAGACAGAGTGGAAAATTTTGCAAATGACAACAAATAGTAAAGCTGTCAGGCATACTAGAAACAATACAGAACCACCCTGATAGTGAGTCAGTCCACTTTGATTACAGCTTCAACATGCTGCAGATTTCTTTATGCTAGATGTTCATTGTTGTCCGTAGGAATATAGGGCCCTAGGTATATACACTATCAACCTGCGTCCTGTGGGATAGGAGCACATTGACGATTAGCCCTGGATTGATGTTACTTTATAGTCCTCGGACATCATGGGATATAACATGTTAGAGGCCATTTATGCTTCTTTGGGATGGACAGGGTAGACACAATTCACTCTTGTGGAAAATACCATTCTCTGTTATTTTTTAAGGGCAGTGTAGAATACAAATACAATAAGTAATATATGGTATTTTCTTTCATGTCCATTCAAAATGTAAGCTTTGCCAAGATTCTCTAGAAGCCCTTGTAGTCTGTGAGATTGTTTGACCCAGCTCTGCAAATGAAAGGGCTGTGGCTCTGGTCAATATGAATTAAAGCAGTTAATCGCATACAGCACCCAGGCTCCCATGTGAAACCCTGCAACCTTCAGGCAGCCTCTGTGCTGTTTCTCGCTCAAAGAGGGGTGTCTTATTGACATGGGTGCTAACGTGGCCATTCCACCATATGAAAAATCAATTGATCTGTTTTCATCAGGTCTCTCCATTTGCCTGCTGTGCTGATCAAACCTTTCTTACGATATCAAGGTATTGAAACATCCCTTCAGTGCTTTTGGATTTAATGTTGGGTTTGAAAGACTTGTATCCTTTCTTTATGGCACTGTATTGGATTCTGTGACGAAGCACAGGAGTTTGGAATGATGAAAGTAGATCAGTGTACTGGAAAGTGCGCATCATCACTTTAGAGACAAGCAGAGCCACATGAACCACAGAGAGGGCAGAGAAATCTACAGCACCTGTAGAGAGCTGTTTTCTCTACGTATCGTGTAAAAGCAAGTAAGGCCAGACAGAAAGCATTCTTCACCAGTTTTGTTGACCAGTTACGTCTGTACCAGTATTCCGTTCAAGGTCCTTCGGGTTAAGGGGATCACAGTTATATCGCAAAACTCAAGCTGAACAGTATTCACTGGGCTAAACTCCAGTATCATAAAGATTTAGAATGCTCTAAGAAAATGAGGAAAGAGAAGTGAAGGTCAAGGAATAAGTCATGTAATAACATTGGATTGGTCTTGCCTGAGCCAGGGAAAGCTTCTCAAAAATAGTAAAAATTCCATTTATGTAAATGGGACCTTCTAGTCCTGTTATCATAAGGAAGGATCTGTGACATTTCAGAATGAATATTACAGAGAGATTTTATTCTCAATAGTTCCAGATTTCTATCTGTTCTGACCTGCGCAGTGGCACACTGGTCAGGACCGCTGCCTCACAGCTCTGAGGTATCGGCTCTGACCCAGGGATTGAAGCGGTTCCCCTTGAACATTTTCCCGGGGGATCCTGGATTTAGCCTTAAAGATGTACTGACCATTTGATTGGTTGCACTAAAATGTTCTATTTCATGCGATTTTTATTAACCCACCCCGTCTAATTTAGCCCTGCCTCAGTGTTGACCTCACTGCAGTTGTGTTAAAGTTAAAATGAAGAAGGTGTTTCTGAGTTTCCTCCAATACTGTCATAAAGTAACTCAAGTAAACGTCAATGCATATGATCATTTTACACTGGGTCATATAGACAGCGGCATGCATTTTGTTGTCAAAAATGACAGGCAGTTAATTTGAATAAGCAGGCAAACGATTTGATTACATAATTTGAATACATACAGTAATGTCCTATTGGTTGTATTGACACCAACATAAATGACAGCTATTGTATGAAGTTTATTTTTTGGATAAATATTTATCTTTTGCCTTTATTTATAAATGTTGTTTTGGCTCAATTGACAATAATTTACAAAATCAGGATTTATTATACAAATTGGGTCTTACTTTGTTTTATTTAAATTAAACTTTTAACATTTTATGTCCTGTAGGTTTTGGGAATTGGGTCAACATGATTTATATAAGCATATTTATATTAATACTGTACATTAATGTCATCCAAACATTTTCTGAAGTATGCCAGTGACACAGCATCAATGCCAAACCAGGCACCCCTCTGTGCATTGGTGTCTCCTATTCTGAGTTGTAAACACTTTGTTAATTTCCATTTCCATCAGAAAACCATTGCCCTTGAGGTAGTTGACTTTACTTTGTCGATACCTTTCAAGAATCTGAATGCTTTCAGTTCCCTTTTTTAATCTCCAAGGCAGCAGTGTTCTTTTTTTAGTGTGGTTGCTAAGACTGCACTCCCTAGATTTACTGCATTGTGTACTTTTTTACTTTGCTTTACCTTGAACCTGTGTATTTCAGTATGTATATGCTTTCTGTCAGTTGGGATAAATAGGACAAACAGAAATCAACATGAACTCTTTTTAGTTTGTTGCAACACTTCGTACTGTATATTTGCACTTTTCCCTTATCAGCATGATTTCATGACTGGTATTGTTATGTATTTTCACAAGCAGAGACGGACTTGCGGATTGAATAGTTTTATTTAATGTTGCGTGCACACCATACATTTAGGCATGTTCTTTCCCTGACCAACTACAGAAACCCAGTGTGTCTAAAATAGCCTTTTAAATGTACTACAGGTATCATATGATAAGATTCAATCAAAAAGCCGACACCAGTATTGGGTTCCCGATGGAAAAGGATTTTGTTTCTGACCAGTCTGCTTGTTTCAGAAGCCTGCAGTAAAGGTTGTTGTAGCAGTGTGATGGTACAGCAGGTTCAAACAAGGCAGCACTTGTCTGGAATACATTACCCAGAAAGCAGTGTGTGTGTGTGTGGGGGGGGGGGGGGATAGGCCGCTGGCCTCAGTCACCTGACCAGTTGCTAAAAGACTATTGGTCAGAGGAGAGTTTAAAAAGCCCAGAAATGAAGGCTTTTGGGGCCTTTTACCTTCTGCCATCTGCCAACAGAAAGTAGACCCTCTGTTTTGCAAGTTGGATCAGGGGAGTAACTTAAGGAAGCCATGGACTGACTGAGGAAAGTTATGTGAGTTTTTGGGTTGTGTATCTTTTTTCAAGTTTTGTGAAGATGCTCAAACAGAGACTCAGGTAGTTTTGCAAAGAGTCCCAGAGAGAGACTGGAGTAATTGTAAAAAGGGAGACCGGTTTGGGGAACTGGTAAGCAGCTTAGCTTCCCAGCTTTGATAGTGAGGGACTTGGAAGAAGTCTAGTTAGTGGCTCAAAAGGAGCTACAGTAGGCTTTTCTTGCATGTGATTTGTTTTTTGTTCAATACTTTAAATTTTATTGCCATAACAACTGGTTGCATGGAATTTGCTGAGCTCACACAATTAAAGTCATAAAATACAAATACACAATGTTGGAGGCTGTTTCGATTTTCCTGCACTGTAAAAAAAAAAAGAGCACTGGTTTGTGCCTTATGGCTGCCATTGTGGCTCTGGCTTCCTGGTCCTGCCTATTTTAAAGATGCTTCTGTAGCACACAAGCTGGTGTGGGATGCAGATGAGGTTAGTGTACTGTGTGCAGTACGGTTGTTGCCTGTACCCTGAGTGACCACTTTTACAGGGTCTTTGTATTGCGGTTCCCCGACCAACAGGCCAAGACCAGGGTCCTGTCGTCAGCAGTGTGTTTTATTGCACGTGCACATGCTCTCCTAGGTGAGATCGTAGGGCGGATGCTTCCCATGTGACTAGCAATTGTTAAAATGTTTCCCAAATGACAACTGTAACAGTGGAGCACACATGGTAATGTTGAGCCCATGTGAAAGCCTTTAGGGGAGTTGAAATGAAATGCCAAGATCATTTACCCAGCTAAAAAGGCCACCAGCATTCCAATATGACATCTCTCCAGAGACGAAATTCCTGTCAAAGCACAGTGAGAAATGAAACCTGTTCCCTCCAGACCCAAGGAGAGATTGAAAGTAATTGGCACCCTTTTGTGGTCAGTGAGCTCTGAGATGAGTTTTGTGGAATTCATCACCACATCACTCCATAT